TTTTTTGTTTTTTTGTTGACCCTTGAAGATGCTCCGACGCTGCGGCAGGCCTGGAATATCGCAGAGTACACACAAATACACAAACACACACACTGACTCCACAGCATTTCACCATCGCTGTCTCTTCCAATAGCAGTAGAGCTGTACTGAAGTACACTGAAGACCTCAGAAAGGTCTATTTCTGAATTCAACCTCGGAAATCACTCAGGCAATGCTGATGTAACACACACACACACACACACGTACATATAAATATACTGACATCCAGACTCTCCAGGCCTGGTAATACATCTTCTATGAAGCATCTGTCTGATGATGCAAAATGACACGATGCCCTCGCTGCTTCCCAGAGTCCTGACAACAGGAGAAGACTTCAGACCTGCGTCTGTGCAGACAGGAAACAGAATCTGACTCATTCCTCCAAGAAAACATCTCCCGCCCACTGCTCACACTGCACCAGTTAGGATTTATAGGAAACTTTGTCCTAGCAGGTGAGCACTCCTCCACGGTGTACCTGACAGCTGTACCAACCACCGCTTCTTAAAGACGTATCACGCCGGTGTACCTGACAGCTGTACCAACCACCGCCAGCCAGCGTAAGTTACTTCTTAAAGACGTATCACACCGAGACAGGAACACAGAGGGCACCTGAACGCAGCACGAAAAAACACTGCACAAAAACAGTTCTAATAATAATAATAACAACAACAACACGAATAACAATAACGATAATCAACCACCGACAAGGCACAAAGAGATTAAACATTATTTTTATATATTTAAACCAAACAACAGCCTGGAAATAGTTCCCCAGAGCTCAACAAATCACCAAGAAGGTATCAAATTATTCAAATCTTAGGTTAAGTTAAGTACACTAATGGTAACAAACAACATAAGAGTTAAATGTTGCCAAAGGTTTAGCATAAAATAGCAAAGCTGTTAGACACAATATTTTGCTTTTTTGGACGGAAAAAAAATAAAATAGCAAAGCTGTTAGACACAATCAAATTCAAATTCAGAGTCAAATTTATGATACTACCTTAAACCAAAATAAGTTTAGAGATTTAAGCACAAATGAATTATATGACTTTATTATATTTATATATTTGCTAAGTATTAGCACAGAAATACTGACAAGAGAGTGTCGGAAGAAAAAGTCAAAGCTAAAAAAAAATAAAAAATTGGGTCGGTGAAGAAAATGTCAGATTTGCATCCAGCAGGACACAAACGCTGCTGAGGACTAAAGTAGGCCACACAGTCACAGAAATGATGATGAAAGATTCTGGAGCCACCATCGCTCTGGAGACTTCCTCCAGACTCAGCAAGCTGGAAATCAATCAGGCTGAGAAGTGTCAGAGAGAGCTCTGTGGCGATGGTTTTTATTCCCGAGCACAGCTCCCACTCCACAGAGACCAGTGGTCAGGGGGAGCAGATGGTCCGGACACCGGCTCTCCTGCTACACCGCGGCCCACTACTGCCAGGGCAACGTGTGGGAGACATGTGACTAAAACTGTTGGACGCCGCTGGTCTCAGCTTCAAACACACCACTGTGGTAATACTCACTGGTACTCACACTTGCTCTCACAGCTCAAATACTAGCTCAATTCAAGGCCAAATACTGCAAATGCAGGTTTCAAGGAATTCATGTGCAAAAGTTCAAGGTTGTAGTTCTCCCCACTCCCCAGCAGAGGAGGATGTTAGACAAGGTTTAACGAGTTTAAAGTTATTGTTCAAAAGTAATAGACAGGTGTACAAACAATATTAAAATATATTATAACAATAACAATATACAAACAATATTAAAAAATAAACATCTGGGTTGGGGACTGAATTCACGTCCACTGACACTGGCAGCTTACAGTGATCAAACTAATAGACGTTTTTAATTTCTGATCATATATTCACGCAGCTCATCCTGCCAGAAAATACAGGTAGAGGGCAGCACTGACACACACAGCCACATCATCACACACTCCAAGGGTCCCATTAAAAATCAAGGAGGAAATAATACCTGTTTTAATTTAACATATGACACAGTCAAACTCTAGTTCTGATTCATACATGTGACCTACATTCAGTCTGGATCCCGGTACAATAACCACCAAATGCGGTGCCAAAGGGGCAACTGGTTAGCATGTGTGACCCAGAGGAATTGTTCTGTTGAGCAAAACAAACAGGGATGGGTCGCTGCCTCCATCCCTTGTATTAACTGTACAGAATATGTAGGTCTGCTAAAAATAGCTACCGTACAACCAGCTACACTTCCACAGAGTGTGACAGACACGGTCGGGTGTTCTCACAACAACGGGAGTCCTGTGAGAGACAGGTGAAAAACCAGGTCACAGATCAACAGATCTGAAATGATCTGGACCGGGGTTTAGGTGGAAGTTACAAAAACACAGACTTCAGATCAGCAAGACAGATCAGAAACTCCGGTCTGCCGTGACAACAATGCTGATAGTAAATGGAAAAGTATTGGGTAAAAGAAAAAGTATTTTTCCACTGCAATAAAAGGCACATTTATTTTGTTCGTATTAAAATTCATGTGACCTGTGGGTGGAATGGGAGTTAAAGAAAACAGAATGGTGCAAAAAACATAAAAAACATTAAAAATATATATATATGTGTGGAAATGTTTGTGGCTGTGAGTGAAGAACTGTTTGTTGTTTTCTTTTTTGGATAATTAACCAACGAGGTGAGGAGAGTTCTTTTACTTTAATGTGACTATAAAGAGGACACACTGCACTGATGCTGGACACACACACACACACAAACACACACCTTGCCTCAAGGCTGCTGGATTATGTTTTTTCTTTACAGCCTCTTCTTCTTTTCCTCAGCACAAAGAGATATACTGTAGTGAAAGGGAGTGAGAGAGAAAGGGAGTGAGAGAGAAAGAGAGAGAGAGAGAGAGTCTTTGGAAGAGGAGGTGTTTAACACTTCTCACAGCAGTGAGAATGGAAGAAGGAGGATGATGATGAGGAGGAGGAGTCAGAGGCATGTCCAGAAGACACCTGAGAACATGCTAATACCACAAACTCGCTGCCTTTGACCCCAGGGTGGGGGCAGCAGAGAGAGGTCACTGCTCTGTTAGATGCTGGAACACTGCCATTTATCTGAGTGAGAGATGAAAGTACGGAGCCTCCAGGGAACACAAGAAAAACTCTGAAATGTCCTTCAAAGCCCACAGTTAGAGTCAGCGTTGACAACATTATATCCTACTGTGAGAGGAGGAAAACTCCAGATACACAGGAATACTACTAAGAGGCCTGGAACAGTACAAATCCAATGTGGGTCAAGTACTACAATAGATACTAGTAAAAAAAAAAAGACAGAAAATGTCAAATTTAACAAAATCCAGTAAACCCTTATTATAATGTGATCTGAATTAGAAGGGTTAGAGATTCCTGACGACAGAACCACGGCTGCTGCACAGACTTTTTAAGATGACAGAGCAGGATGTTGGATTTTTCTTTTTTTAAGCAGAAAATTGAAATAAAAAGCAGCTGCAGCCTCTTCAATGAGTCATATCACAGGGAGAGGGCAGAACAATAGTCCCACATTTAAATAATAATTTAATAAATTATTATGGCATCAGCAAAATTCTGTTAAAATATCTTGACAAAAAATATTTAAATAAATATTTAAATAAACTGGAGAAATTAGTATTTTAATAAAAAAATGTATGATGAGAAAATAATTCTGTCTGCTGGGGTTTATATGATGCTCACACTTGACTTCCAATCAGTCTGATTAATAATCAAAGTTCACAGGAAGTGCATTATTTAGCTGCAGTTACTAACAAGATCCTGGGATTTCATTAATACGAGCAAGAAAATCACCTCGAACCACGAACAGTCTGAGCTGCTGCTGCTGCAAGAGATTAATGACTGATCTGATTAATGTCATGGTTAATGACCCATTATTGATGGATGCAGTATCTGAACAGACCGGGTTCGCCTCCGGGATGCTGGTCCCTCTGGAGCGTGGCGTTCTCTCGGATAAGAAGAGATATGTTGTATAAAACCTGGTTGAATTTATAACGATTGTGGGAATTCGTGGGTTTTAAATCTTAATTAACACTTTGGTGGTGGGTCTTTAATAGTTTACTGTAAAGGGTAAATACTGCGCTTAAATTCGGGGAATAATTCCAACACCCAGCAGTATGAGTTAGGACTAAAATACAACTTTTAATTACTCCAAGTACCTTGCCTGCTAACAGAATTCTGCTGCAGTGAGCAGCAAAATGGGCAGAATTCCGAACGGAGTTCGGAGTCAACCTTTTTCCAACATTAAGCCCACTGTACTGTATATAAGGCAGATGTTTGACTGAGGATCAGAGCTCATCAGAAAAACACCTGACACCTGAACATGGCGCCTACTGCTGTTACACATTGACATTCATGCCAAATTCTATTCAACATTTTCGCACATTTTGGATTTCGTGTCGTTTTAACGTCAATAATCGCAGTTAGCGTGTGTCTTCGATAATCTACTTAAAGAGGGAGTACTGTTGAACAATTCGGTTCATAAATCCAAACTATGACGAGCCCATTGTGTTTTGGGTCCTGTCAAAAAGTGTGTTGTCATAAACATAGTTCCGCGAGATTCGGATCAGATCCTATTTTATCAACGTACCTCCGAAACATGTCAGACTTTCCACGTCCTTTCGACATTTTTACTATTTTTTGGCTATCATGTATTTAAACTTGTTTTTTCCTTGTGTCGTACACTTTAACTGGTGAAATCTATTTTCAAATGTGTTTAGAACAATTCGGCATATATTTCAAACCTTACGACGCCACTATGCCTACGGAAATCTAACTTTGATACTGGTACGGTGTTATTGTCCCATGACAGGGATCCAGCAGTAGTCCGCAGCTAAATTTGATGAAATGTTAACGGAATTTCGTGTACAAAAAGCCGTTACAGATGTTTGTATTCACAGCTGGCACACTTGAACACAGAGCACAGAGAGACCGCATGAAAACTCTCCATACCTTGGTTAGCTGTGCTATCTTCTTGCTCATCTTCAGGTGCAGGTCTTGGGTATATTCCATGGCGATGCCGGACTGAAAGCTGGAAGCCGTGGAGGAGTTAAATTTCCCCTGACCGGTGGGGCAGTAATACTGCTGCTGCCAACCAGAGCCAGTCGCCATCTTCACGATGATGCTCAAGAAAGACACCGGGAGTAATAGAAAAATTAAATCAAAAATAAACAAAGATTGAACGGTGCTACTGAGCAGCAGAAGAATCGGGACAGTGCCGCTTTATCTGGTACCACCGACACACCGGCAGAATAAATATCAAAAACACCAAAGCTTCTCAGCCTGGAAAGTGTTAAAAAATGATTTCATGTTTGCCTGTGTCCGTTTATTAGCGCGGCGAGGCGTAAAAAATGCGATTTAAGCTCCACACACGTCCGCTACTACCATCCAGTGTTGGCCGCGTTCCGAGCTCCGAGGTGCGGGTCCTCGCCGCTGTTACCTGCCGAGGATGGAGAGCTGTTGTCGGGCAGCTCGCCTAACTCGCTCCGGGTCGGTCACCTTGGTACCGGGGAGTGTGTGTCTGTCAGTCAGAAGTGGTCGTTCCTCGGTTCATATCAGCTCCAGTGCTCTGGCAGCCGGGCAGAGATTGAAGGTATGTGTGTGCGTGTGTGCGTGCGTGTGAGTGTGAGTGGAGGACAGGCTCGACTGTTGCCATGGATCAACCTCAACAGTGGCTGTGCTGCATTCAAGTAGGACGGGAGCTGTGGTGCCTTCAGGGGCCGTCGGAGAAACGCCCACTACGAAACGCGAACCTCGAATGTGCAGCTCGGAGGAGAGTAATTGTAAAGGAACGGGGGAAATGTTGAACTTCCTGGAATGTTCTAAAAAAAAAAACACTACAAAACATTAGAAATACAATATTAAAGCATTTCCGTTTGTTTTCGTAATCTTTCAGTTTCCTCTGCGTTTCTTTTATTTTGTCCTTTCTTTCTCGCCTTTCTTCTATTTTCATTGTTTTCTTTTATTTTTTCTTCCTCTTTCTTGTTGTTTTTACACGTTATGTTTGGTATAAAAATATTAACGAGCTGGAACTAGAGCCACTAGGTGGCAGTGATGTATCTGAACCTAGGCAAAGCTACCAACAAATCATGTTTTTTCAAGTGTTTATTTACCTCGAATGTGCAGCTCGGAGGAGAGTACAGTAATTGTAATAGTTTCCTCTGCGTTTCTTTTATTTTGTCCTTTCTTTCTCGCCTTTCTTCTATTTTCATTGTTTTCTTTTATTTTTTCTTCCTCTTTCTTGTTGTTTTTACACGTTATGTTTGGTATAAAAATATTAACGAGCTGGAACTAGAGCCACTAGGTGGCAGTGATGTATCTGAACCTAGGCAAAGCTACCAACAAATCATGTTTTTTCAAGTGTTTATTTATTGTAGTTCATTTACTTCTGTAGTTTAACGTGAAGCAAAACCAGGACTGGAGGTCCTGTACAAGAATTTTTGGGAATCCCACGGAACCATTTGCACAAACTGTCATTGCGTAATGCAATAAAATCAGTTTTGACTCATTTATATACCCTCGGACAAATATAATTTCAACTGCAGTCATGAGACCAGGGCAGGGTCAAAGTCTAGAAGGTTCTACAGTAAATCACAGAGACAATCATTCACACTCACATTCACACCTACGGTCAATGAACAGTGAACATTAACCTAATCCTGCATAAACCAAGACCATCAGTGACCACCAGAGATCGAACAGCTGACCTTTCTTGCTGTAAGGCAGGCTCACTAACCCTCTGATAATATGTACTGCGACAGCATGGAACATTATATTGTTCCCATCTTGAAGGCACAGTTCAAATTAATCAGTGTCAAAATATTGATTGAACAACTATTCTGCAGGATGTGAAACTATTTATATTTTATAACCAGGTTATTGATCACCTCACATTTCACCTTAACAAAAAATACACCGCCCACCAACTAAACCACAGTCAGAACCAACAGACGATGGTTCAGTTTTTTACAGCGTCCTCTGCTCCGTTCACTGGTTTTTAGACAAAGTCGTTCAGAGAAGGAAAACACAGAGAGAACTGCTGTGAATGTGCAGAGGAAGACATTGTTGGAGGAGGTTTTTCAGGCTCATAAAGTTGTGATGACTGGGATTTTCTAGCTACCACAGACTCACACGGTGTTTATACCAACATCACAGGTAACGGGTAAATGAATCTCACTTGTGTTAACGGCGGATGATGGAATCTGTCAGGTCTGTACGTGCGGCTGTGGATCACGATTAAGAAAATCAATGGCGGTCGAGGCCGAGGACAATAGTGTTTTTCTTTGTTGTTTTTTTTATTCCTAATGGTTTGTACTGTGTTCCACAGTAGGGATGGGGTGGCGGAGGTTTGACCACATGCACAGTAGAACCAGAACTGAAGCCATCACTCACACATTAGAGCCACAGAACTACAGACATCGTTGTTTAAAGTTCCAACAGTGGTACCCATTCCATAGTTTGAGAACCATCAGTCTTTCCAGCTATAGCATTTTGTAACAGAAGTGTGGCCAATTATTTCAAATTTTGAATTTCTACTTCATGGTTTACTATTCTTGCAATTTTTCAACTACTGTTTCCTCAACATACCACTAGATGGAGCCAAAGTCCCACCATTGGTACCCTTTTCCACTGTTTGAGAACCACCAGTCTAGAAGCTATGAAACTGCAACATGATGTACGGAAACAGAATTTCAGAAAAGTGTAATTGATATTTCCCCCTCAACTGAAGTAATTAATTATTATTATTATCATTTTGCCGATATCCAATATTGTCCAAACACTTAATTTCCGATTCTGATATCAACCAAAACCGATATAGGTCTGGTAATATTTATTTATTTATCTGTACAAACCACTGTATGCGATTAATTAAATGAACTGCAATGCTGCCATCTAGTGAACTTCGCTTTAATACACAGCCGTTTAGCCCCAAAACTATTTTTAGGGCACACCCATCATTTGGTTTAATTATTATTTATTTTTATCCGCAATTTCTCCTGACTGCAGGTTTTTAGTTTGTTGTTGTTTGGACAAAAAAAACCAAAAGTTTTCTTAGTAACGGACCTGATCACTTACCTGTGTCCATCAGCTGGCACCAGCGTCCATGACAACGGCGTCCAACGTTGTCCTGAGTCTTCGTCATGGTGACCTCTTGACCCTGGGTGTCAGCACCATCAATATAAGACAGCAGCTGGGATGACCTCTGAGACCTCTGTAATTCTGGGAATAAATGGAAAGAAATGAGTGTCTTCAAAAAAGTGGGACAATAGAAAAAAAAATGAAAACATAAAGTGGACAGAAATATATAACTGGACTATTTAAAGGACAAGTGTGTAGGACAGTGGATAAATATAGACTGAAAATAAAGCAGACTGTCACAGCTGAGTTGATAAATGTGTCCAATAAAATGTTGGTGGAGACTCCTTTAAAAGGACTGTTTTTTCAGAGCTCATCTGGACCAGGGCTGGGATTGATTTTTTTTAAACCTCAGGCTCTATTTGCCACTAGCTCATCTGGACCAGGGCTGGGATTGATTTTTTTTTAAACCTCAGGCTCACCTACTGGGAGGTGTTTTTTTTTTATTTCAAGGACATTTTGTAAATGTTTTCCACAGAATAAATTCAACAGGGAAGTAAAATGTCTCCTGTTTTTGAGAAATTCAAGGACGTTTGGCTCCAGATGTGTAGATGGACAGTGTTGTGATGACTGTTTTATACAGACTGGTTCCTTGGTGATTATCTGAAATGTCGCTCCGTGTAACGATGGCAACAGTTTGAGCAGGGGCTACTGCTAAAGTTCAGGGCAATTGAGTTTTGTTTTTTTTTTTCCTTTCGTAAGCATGCTCAGTTAGGATGTGTATGCCATTCGGATGGGTATGGCAAAGTGACTCGACGCCACAGAACGAGCTGAGACCCAACCAACATACAGATGTTCAATCCAGAGTCAGAGGCAGAAGAAGAAGAAGATGGTCAGTAGTTAACTTTGTTACTTCAACATTACTGAGATGTTACTACAGTATGTAGACCAACCAAAGTGGTATCGACTCACTGACTGTCTCCCCCTAGTGTTGTGACAGATTTTGTCAGATCATAAAAGAATATATACTCAGTTATTGAAACAGACAGAAACTCCAGAGACGCAAAGATTTGAACCAAACACATACATTATATATATGTGTGTGTTTTGTGTTTCTCCGTCTACTGTCGCTTTAAGACTGAGACGTGGGCCTCACATTCAGTTGTAATGGAATGAACCAGTACCACGGTCCTGTTGGCACCGGGCTCTGAGTGTCATCAATAAAATGTCACTGTAAAATTAATGTGTGACTTTAACCCCACGCTCCGGCACAGACCCACGAAGACAATAATCCAGACTCACCATCTGCTCCGCAGACTAATGTGAACAGTCACAGGACACCTGCTGTTCAGCCTCACACACACTCACACACACACACACACAGATGTTGACGCCCTCAAACCAAACAGCAAATTGAAAGAAAACAAATCAATAAACATAAAAAAAATAACACAAACAATGAAGTTAAAGTTTTAAAATGTAAGGGTTTATTTGAAGTGGAGAACACTGGTTCCTCTGATGTGACGAAGCTCAACAAAGAAAAACGACTGAAAAGACAGAACGCTGCAGGCACCGCGTTTATAATCACTCTGCTGACGTGTGTGTTTGCTATTTATAGTTAAAATATGAAGTCTGCCACACTGTCAGTCTCTCTGTGTGGGGATACAGGTGTGTGTGTGTCTAGCTGTAAAGTCATTGGTTCACTTGGTCCCAGTAGGAAATATAAACTAATATAAACATGGCTGTGTTTTTAGCTCAGAGTTATTAGATGTCAGAGTGATGGATATATCTGAGATACTTCAACTGCACAAAACTACCTGAGAACACGACTGGTTTTACAGAATCATCAGCATCTCCTGCCTCCTCCACTGTTACACCAACCATCTCCATCACCACATCTCTGGTCTCCTCTTCTTCATGTCCATCATCTCCACCTGACCTCTCACCTTCACTGTCCCTCTGAGCTGCTTATTTATACTGTAATCCTGTCCATCCTGGTCGCTCACTATGAAGATCTCAGCATCTTCATCTCCTCCACCTCCAGCAACAAGAAGAACAGCTAGATAAACACCAGAAGAACTAACCCTAACATGAATGAGGTCTGATGTATTATTTTATGAGAGCAAACTGTCCTGTAAACCAAGGGTCGACCCCTAGAGGTGACGCAGAAGTACTGCAGGGAGGATTGGAATATTGTGAAAGTTGTTGTTGATTGTATTATTCCACAAAGTTCAAATGACTGTAAATACACATGTAGTAAATGAATTCCTGCAGGGCCCCTGCTCCTTCTCTCCATCAGTTTGGGGGTCCTTGAAGACTAGGTCCAGTCTTTATTTTAGGGATTTTTTGGGAACAGAATTCAGATTCCTGACACAGTCTACGAGGTCATCACACAGACTCAGCCGTAGGTTCATGCACAGATACCCATGGAAGGGGCATTCAGGGTGGGGGGCATAAATAAGCTGCTGCAAATCCTCCATATCTGCCTAAACCCAGCAGCCAAACCCATGAAAATCAGAACATCTCAGAGTGAATAAACTTCAAGGACAGACTGACGAGAGGCGAAGAACAGGGTGGAATAATCTGGCACTGAAAAGGAGGAGTTTTATTTTTTATTTTTTTTAAGTACCAGTTAAGAGACGGAGCAGTTTTATGAAGTTTTATGACGTGAAAGCGTCAACGTTGTTGAAGGTCTCTGTGAGGAGACGCCGTCAAATAAAGACTGACCTTCATCCAGGCCAGACTGTCCCTGGAAATTCAATCAAGCCTTATCTTTAAGTCCACTCCTGGATCTGGAACCTTATCCAGAAATGGGCTGTTCCCGGCCCCTTGCCCCCCCCCCCCTTCCCCTCCCCTCCACAAAGACATCCTCTAACCCCATTACTCAAGAGTCAGATATAAAGAACTGGACATCCTGGAGTCTCAGTGACCACCGACCGCTCAGCAATCACCTGGATTATTTTACTGCAAATATTTAAACACAACATATTAATACAACGCTGTTCAAGGACAGATGGTGAAAAGAACCAAAAACTAAACCCAGACCTGAACAAACAGGACGTCAAAAATCACTAATCAGACAAAGATTTCCAGCATTTTAAACTGAAAGAACAACTGTCAAAAAAGGCCTTATTTACATTCCCCTGCAGTGCCTGTGTACACCCTCTAGAGGTCGCAGACTCATAGTTGTCCAGTACAGTTTATAGAACTTGGTATGCACACACTCATACACTCATAAATGTATTTGCTACTAGACTGTATTTCAGATGTAATGACGGACAGATGTGATCATAAACGTTTGATCCAGTAACGTGTAAATTCATTTTCTCTGGGAGTCAAAACAAGTCTGATCTGATCAGTGAAGCAAGAGGAGAAAAGTGGGACTGATGATCATAGATCATGAGTGTGTGTGTGTGTGTGTGTGTGTTTCAACAGACAGTAATGATGATGCAAGAAGTAGAACAACTGGGATTAGAGGAAACGTGGAAACAGTGAGGAATATGGACAAATCTGGATTAATGACATGACGGACTGCTCTCTATTGTCTTCTATTGTACACTGGGGGTTCTGTACACACACACACTCTCACACACACACACACAGTCATCATCCATCTGCGTGTCTATTTATAGAGAGGAGAAATGAATGCTCTGGCTCTGCTTCACTTCTTCCAGCTTCATAATTGGAACAGTTTATGAGTTCGCAGGAAGAAGAGCAGAAAAATACAATTCAATTATCACAGCCTGGTGGCTCACAAAAAAAAAAAAAACTAATAAAGTTGACAACATAATAATCACAACAATCTAATCTGTGTGTGTGTGTGTGTGTGATAGCTGGCTGAAACACAGTGTTAGTTACCACTGTAGGGCAACAATCAGAAATTACGACATTAGGCTGGAACTTCAGGAGTTTTATAAATAAATAAATCATTTAGGTTCATAAACAAGTTTTGCTCGAGCTGCACTTGAAGCAACAACAACAACAACAACAGCAACTCACGACCGTTTAGTCACAATAAAATAACACGTTTTAAAACATACAGTAAAATCAAAATCAACTGACCAACCAACTGACCAAACCACTTAACCTCAAATGACAAGAAAATCAAGCCAGCAACCAATCGTGCTGAGCTACTTTTTGAAAATATCTTAAAATAACAAAACGTCTGTGACGTCACAGTGTTTCCTGCTCCAGCAGCTGAAGTTGTCAAAAAAAATACAGCGAAACACGTGAAAAAATGGACATAAACAACAAAAAATAAATCCAATAGAAGTAAAACAAGTAATATTAAACAACGATGAAACACACAAAGCTTTATAGGTCTCGGCCGCCATCTTCTGGTGAATTGGAACACATACACCACAACAGTTAAAAACAAAAGTTCGATTCTTTAATTTAAATGCTTAACGTTAACTTACTCGTTAACGTTGACGACTAGTGGGAACCTAGAAATTATGGTTTAGTCAGTTTTATTACAAACTTGTGTGTTCGTTTATTTAATCGTTACTTTTCTGTTTTGACGTCCGTTCAGTGGTTTTACCCAGTTTTATGTTTTGGAGTTTTCCTACCTGTGAACGGCAGCTTCTCTCTGGTTCTCCGTCTTCTCTGAGGAATATAATAAACATTTAAAATAAAAATAGGTTCTCCGTCTTCTCTGAGGAATATAAACAAAAGAATAAACATTTAAAATAAAAATAAAAGGACCAAAACGTCGAATCGATAACCCGGGAAATGTGTGGTGAAAAGAGACAGTGGATGTTGTTCTACTGACCCCACTGTCTGGGAGTCGTTACTACACCTGCGTCAGAGTCACAGCTGCTGGTTTGATTGACTGATTGACATTTAAAGGGACAGGTTCATTCTAACACGTTTGTTTATACTTGACTATTTGGTGCCTATATATATTTATTAATTATAATTATGTATATAAATAAGTACGTGTGTAGATAAGGACAAAGGACGATGTAGATCAGAGTTATTAAAGAAGTTTTTTTATTCACAATAGAAGTGTAACAAATATAGTTTATTAAAAAGTCTGCTGCTTAATTATATCATTTTATTCCTTAAGATCAGAAGATTTCATATAAATGTAAAGTGGCCTATCTGCCTGAATGGTATATTTACATTTTTTTATCAATACTCAATAGTAATTATAATAATAATTATTATAACAACATCAACAATAACATTAATACAATCAGAATCATCTCCCAACCAAACATTTCATTCAAGAAATCACACAAAGTAAACTACAGTATGTGCAATGGAATGATTATCAGCAATATTTTTGTACACACAGTTCTGAGGTTGGCTTCACACCTTAACCTTTAAAAGACATTTTGAGGAACAGTTAATGAGTTCCTCAAAGAAAAAAGGTGCAAAAATTAATTAAAAAACGTGATTTCATTTCATTTCCCATTAAAATTCACCAACAGGAAATGACGACAGAAAACTAAATCACCATCACCTGGTAGAATCATATTTTAAAAAACAGCCAATACCGTATCACCTGAAGTGATGCTGCCACCGTGTGGTGATAAATCAGATGACGCACGTCTTGTACAAGTTTATGAAATGATCACAAAACAGTTCGATGTCACGTAATTAAAAACAGGAATAAGTTGCAGACATTCGTAAAGCTACAGAAAAGGGAAGTGCCCAGCGTGTCCCGGAAGTGACGGCATATGAATGAAAGTCAATGGAGAATCAGTGAATGTTTGAGTTCTTAAAAAACACAAATCAAAACATCTAAATAAAGCTTTTCTTAAAGATAAAAAAAACCTAACCTAAAAACACCGATGTACGTTCGATCGCTAACATACGTCACTTCCCTTTAAAAGCTGCGTGATGAAAAACACCCAAAATAATTAAATACAATCTCACATGATTTCAACTTATTTCACAAACAGACGTTTCGCTGTTGGAGACTTTTCACTTTTGTGCTTTAGAAGATGAAAACAAAAGAGGAAATAATAAGAAAATGAAGAAACAGAAGTGAATCAACAAAGAAATAAAATTAAAAAATATTTCTTTTCACATTAGATTCTACATTCATTCATTCATTTATTCACCAGCTCCTGGCTCATGTGTCCTCTCTGTTGCTTTTGTTGTAGTTGTTCCTCTGTTTCACCACTAGTGTACAATAAATTAACACGATCAGCATCAAAAATCACAAAACAATGTCACACAAGTTACCGTAAAGAAAAAATAAACATTAAAAGCTGGAGCTCAGATATGACGTGTCTCAGGTAAAAAGATATGAGCCATATGAGACACATGATGGCGCTCTTGGGGCGTAAGATAAATAAATTCATTCTCGAGCTCCTTTGTCTGATTTAATCACACCTGTCAGGCAGAGCTTTACTTTAAAACCTAAATCTAATGTTTTTAATTTTTTGGTCGTGTTTATAGAAAACACTTTCTATATTGTGGTCAAAAATATTTTAAAAATATTTTTAAATTATTATTATTATATTAAAACCGTTTACTGTCTTGACCTGGAATCATAGGTTCAACGGAGCTGTAATTACAATGTCCTAACACTAGATGGAAGTCTTGCACTACTCTGGCGCGCCAACCTTTACCAAATACTCATTTCTGTAAAATGTTTTAAGTAAAATAATTGACGTTTTAAAATATATTTTTAGATTTCTCTTCAGTCTGTCGAACTTTCTGATTGTATTTGGTTAAAAACATCATTAAACTATTTTTAAAGCTCTCTCATGGACATTCCTGATCCCGACTTCACCACCAATCACGTCATCATCTGTCGATGAAACTAAAACAGGGCAGGGTTGAAGTTCAAATTTCCCATCATCCCTCGGTAAACCATGGTCAGTCTGCTAGAGCTACACCTGAAACTGGACTGGGTTTGTGTGACCTGGATGGTGAAGGCACTGGATCTGAGACTAAACTGGATTTAATCTGGCTACAGTTCTGTGTGGAGGGGACAAAAACGGATGGTGGAAAAAAAAGAATCAGACGAGTCGAGGTTTTTAAAGTGAAAACAGGAGACGACTCGAGGTCCGAGCGCTGCGACGTTATGGATCACTATGGCTTCTCATGAGGGATTGTGGGAAAGATCAGGTAAAGATCTGTGAGTCTGCGTCTCCTCACGGAGGAGAGACCATGGTCCTGCAACAAGGAGGACGGAGAGGGGACAGATGGACACGAAGACACTGAACACGGTGGAGTCCATCACTCCTGTGGTCCACAAACACGACATGATAGTGAAGGACCAGTGTCGTCGCACAGAAGAAGAAGAAGAAGATGAAAACCTAACAACAAACTAATACCAATCAAACCCAACACCAGCTCCAGGTTTCTGAGCTGTTTCCCAGGAATGTGAGAAGTTCCTGAAGGTTCGTCGTCCTTCTCACTCATCACTGGTTCAGTTCAAATAAACCCTGGTTCAGTTGATCCGTTGTCTCTCAGCAGCTTCAGGTCCAAACGGACCGAACGCCACGTCCACCCAACAGAACGTCAGATGAGACGTGAAATAAACCGTCGGTTTGTTAACGTCACCGAAGGAAACAGGAAAGGTGGATTTTTCCGAAAGTTCTGTGGGAATGGTGGCGGACAGGGCGTCCAATCAGATGTGACCCCCCCCCGGTCCAACCAGAGGTCTGAGGTCGACGAGGACAGAGCTGACGTGAGCTGATTGGATCAGAGTCTCGACAAAAGAAAACGGAGCACAAGTGTAAACACGGACCATCGTTCTTTTAAACAACCAGGAACCTGTGAAATACAAACACTGATGGAACCAGGGGGGGGGGTCGGAGAAACAGCCTCAGGTTGTGCTGCGTCTTTTCTTCCACTTAATGCTTCCAGACTCAGAACAGTTTTGGTCCTTTAGATCCTGGTTCCACTACATCCACACAGACTGGTCCTCCTGACAGAACGGCTGCTGCTAACAACATGGTGATGGATCACTGGTGGAACTGTCCCTTTAAAGAGTCAAAAACATGATCCCCCCCTCCAAAAAAATGACTCCATCTTTCTCTGATTTTTTTTTTCTCTCTCTCGTTTTTCAATTTCCTTTGGCTGTTGTCACATGACGCAGGAGTCACATGACCCACAATACAAAACCATGGCCCACTTCAGTGTCTGGACCCAAAAAAGAAGAAGCAAAAAAAAAAAAAAAAAGCAAGTAAAAAAAGACTCCATGGCGAGATTCCAGCTCCAGTGTTTTCATCCTGTTAATAAAAAATAAAATCCCACCCACAGGCAGGTGGCGCTGTGAGGGCTTCAGAAAGACTAAGGCCATCTCAGAGGAACCACTGGAGGCTCAGGAAACACAGGATCTCAGCTTCTCGCTCTCGGTTGGGTCCTTCGTTGTGGGCACAGTGATGCGGTCTACTCCACCTCGTTGGGTCGCTCTGTTCTGTCCTTCCTGATGACGGGCAGAGGGTGGGCTTCGGTGTTGAAGACCCAGTGGTCGAACGGCAGGTGGTCGTCGTCGGAGAACAGCAGGTAGAGATACCTGAAGGAGAAAAAAACAAAACAGAAAAGATACGACTTAGTTTGTAGAAACAGTTGACGTTCAACAGACCAGGAAGATGATTCTGGTTCATTAATATTCAGCTCTTCATCCTGTGTAATCCTACAAATATATAAAGTATTAATGATGCTAGGCTAACTCCAAGGTTAAACTGACTGTAGGAAAATAAAAACTCTGTTCTGATTCTGATGCTTTATTTTTTTTAAACTTTTTTCTTTTTTTTTTTCCTTCATGTTTTTTTCTGATTCTCAACATTCATGGACCTGTAACAGGGACGGGTCTGAGTCTGACTGTATATGTGTATGTGTGTGCGTGTGTGTGTGTGTGTGTGTGTGTGTTCATCAGCAGTGCTGGTGACGAACGTTAAAATTTACAGCCGCTCCCACCAGACTCTGTTAACCTAACCTTGACTTCCTGTAAACATCAGCCCAGAGCAGGGACGGGGGGAGGGGGGGGATCAGGGGGGGGGAGGCTGTTCAAATCCTTTTTTCAAATAAGTGTAGGAGGACAAACAGTGAGGGACATTAAAGTGTGACCTGATAACTGGATTAACGACCAGATCAACTCAGTGGATTATTTTAATCTGGTTAAATTAACCTCATTTAAATGACTTCACACTCAATCTCTGATCTGCAGGTCAACACTTCAGCACAGCAGGAGGAGGAGGAGGAGGAGTGAAGCAGACGCAACTACAGAGCGCCCCCTTGTGTCCACAGTCTGTCTGTCTTCAGTTAAGGAGTATTGGACTTTTGAGAAATACAAAAATAATAACAACAAAAAGTTGGCGTTAGTGTGTAATAAGTGATGTGTGTATGTGTGGGGGGGCTGAGGGGGGCTGAGGGGGGGTTGATGACATCATAAGTTACTATGATAATAATGCGTTGAACTTCTGGTCTGACATTTACTGTTTGAGGACTGAGGCAGTAGAACATCATCAGTGACCTTTACTGT